GGTGACCCTGCGTGTGCAGGGGGGTTGGACTAGATGACCTCTGAGGTCCCTTCCAACCTTGCGCATTCTGGGATTCTGTGATTCTATGGTTCTATGATCACTCGTGGAGAGGCACCAAGCTCCCACCCACGAGCTGCAGGTCTCTGTGCAGGGGACATGTGGCCATGCAGARACATGCACAGTGGAGACCGAGCAAATGCCCTGGCCAGGCTCACGCTGCTGCTTCTGKAGAGCCCTCATCTGCTCTTCAAAGGGTTGAATTTTGAGCACTCTTGGCCCTACCATTCCTACTGGGAGAGGTGGACAGCAGAATGCCCAGAGCCCCCTCCCAGCTTCCCTCTGGACCCTTGCTACCACAACCAGCGAGATGCTGTCCTTACAGCATGAAAATACCTGAATTCCACCACGTTTTTGTTTCTCTCCTTGCAGGCAAGCACGCTGCCCCCACTGTAAGGAGGCATCTCCAGGGACGTTGCAGAGCATGAGTGAGCACCTACAGACCAGCAGCATGGGGAGGGACACGGCTGCYGGCGGGCACAAGCAGACGGGCCGGGGAGCGAGTAGCTTCATAGCTGGGGTCTTCGTGCAGACCAAGAACAAGAAGATGAGCATCTACGATGCCATGCTGAGGGGGGTCCTGACGCCGGGCACGGCCCTGGTGCTGCTGGAGGTCCAGGCGGCCTCAGGGCTCCTCACCGACCCTGAGAGCAGCGAGACGTTGTCGGTGGAAGAGGCCCTGAGCGCCGGGCTCATYGGCAGGGATTTCTACACGAAGCTGCTGTCGGCGGAGGGAGCGGTGACGGGGTACACGGACCCGTGCACCGGGCACAAGGTCTCCCTCTTCCAGGCCATGGAGAAGGAGGTCATAGTGAAAGCGCACGCCATCCGCCTGCTCGAGGCGCAGGTTGCCACCGGCGGCATCATCGACCCCGTGCACGGCCACCGCATCCCCGTGGACGTGGCCCACGAGCGCGGCTACCTYGACYGGGAGACGAGCCAGTTCCTCTCCARCCCCAAGAATCAAGCGAGGAGTTGCTTCGACCCCAACACGCATGAGAACCTCACTTACACGCAGCTCCTGCGCCGCTGCGTGCCCGACGCGGACACGGGGCTGCTCATGCTGCAGCTCGTGGACAGGAGCTCCGTGACCAAGGGCCKCAAGCACAGAGAGCCCTGGAGAGAAGCAGCCCCGAGGACACATGAGGTGAGAACCACGACGGCTCCAGAGATCGTCCCCACCACAGCGAGCACCAGCGCCGAAATGGGAAACGGGGGTCTCAGTTCAGCAACGCCCGGCAACGAGGTGGAGCTGCAGGCGGCCGAGGAYCCCCAGGAGCATTGCTTGAAGAAGTCCCTGAAGTCTGCGGTCATCTGCGTGGACGTTGGTGAGCTCAAGGGGAAAAAGGTCTCCCTGTTGGACCTGCTCTTCTCCAAACGCATCCCTCAAGGGCAGCGGCAGGAGCTGCTGGGGCTCTACAGAGCAGGGATGCTGACAGCCGAGCAGGTGGCTGCTGTGGTCACCACCATCATGAAGCGAGCAGAAGCTGCAAATTCAGAGCTTTTAGCCAATGCCAGAGGTCCGCACAAGGAGGCGATACGGGTAGAGGAAAATGGAGATACCCTTTCAACAGAGGATCCAGAACTAGATAACGTCTTAAAGGCCACCACCATGGATCTGCCAGTTGGTGAATTCCAGGGCGGGCAGGTCTCTGTGTGGGACCTGCTCCACTCCAGGTACATCCCTGAGGAGAACAGGGAGCAGCTTCTGGAGCTCTATCGAAGCAGGGTATTAACCCTGGAGCAGATGGTAACTGTGGTCACCACTGTCATCAGAAAGAAAGACTCTACAAGCAGGAAGATGGAAGTCACTGTGAAGACTYCCAGYAAGGACACGGGGAGAGMAGCAGAAGRCAAGGATGGCCATTCTCCCAAAGAAGAGTCATGGGAAAGATCCCTGAAAACCACAACGGTTGACATGGACGTGGGGGAGTTTCRCGGACACCGGGTCTCTGTGTGGGACCTACTGCACTCCAGGTACATCCCTGAGGAGAAGAGGCAGGAGCTCCTGGAGCGGTATCGTGATGGGACACTGACCTTGGAGGAGCTAGTGGTTGTTGTCAGCACCCTCATTAGAAAGAAAGAGTCTACAAGCAGGAAAATGAAAGTTACCGTGAAGACTTCCAGCAAGGACACGGGGAGAGCAGCAGAAGACAAGGATGGCCATTCTCCCAAAGAGGAAC